CCCTCGTGGGTCTACGCCCTCGTCTCGTGTCTTTGTTAAAAAAAAAAAAAATGAATATCTCTGAATCGCGGCATTCCACCTTGAATCGAATCATCTTGTGGGCGATACGCGAAATGAGCTCTCTTGTTTCGTTGGAAAAATATATACGTTGAAAGGAGAGGAAAAGTTTCTGCATTCGAAAGTTCGAAGTTTTGTTGCAACGAGATGGTCGATGCGCGATTTGAAGGATTATGACCGGTGCGCCATCTAGATGGACGATTGAGTTCGTGTCTACGTACATTAGAAGCGTTGTGTCTATAATTCGAATTTTTTATCGAGGCTATTATACTTGTATAATGAACGAATATTAAGTCGGATAAAAATTTTTTATTTATTGTATTTGTTTATTTATTTATTTATTTGAAACGTGTTTTAAATCGACGTTCGTTGAGAGGTTATATCGAGGATCAGGGAAATTTCGTTTTCTTAAAATTCGCACAGTTGTTCAAATAATTGAAAAAAAAAAATGAAAGAAAAAATGAAAAGTATCCTCCCACGCAATACACAATTTCTTCGTATAGAAATTGTAATTAAAGACATTCTTCTTGGATCGCGTGTTGGATATCGATCTCACGGCGGCCGACATTAATTGACAAATTGTTAAATATGCGAATTAGACCACGACAGAGCTGTGTTGTATCTCGATTGACTAAGCTCGATTCTTGATTGTCTACTAGAAAGGTAGTCACGCTTAGGCATAATTAAAACTCTATTTACTCTTTTCTATCTTGTAACGAACTGAGAAATAAAATTAAACACGTCTAATTACTCAATATCCCCGAGAAAATCCTCGAGGAAGAAATAGAGATACTTCCTATCTCACCGTGTCCATTTATTCGCGAATAATATATCATTCTTGCCATAAATAGTGAAAATCGAAAGTGGTTCGGTATTCGTGGAAAACTGCTCGTTGTATCATAAATTTCTTAGACGCATCTTTCGTTCGCTCTCTGATAAATTCACGAATGAACTCGAATCGCTCGAACTCGATCGACCAAATTTTAAAATCGCAATTACAGAAAATGAAATGCGAAAATGCATTGTTCAATCGAGAAAGTAGCTTGTTTGCCGTATAATAAAAAAAAAGAAAAGAAAAAGAAAAAGAAAAAGAAAAAAAATTGAATAACTTGGGAGGAAGAAATGGTCAGAGACTCGATCATAGGCAGATGTAGTATATCTTCGCAGACAATCGTGAAGCGATCCTGTACGTGTGGGAATGACTGCAACGAGTAATGAAGAGAAGGGAGAAAGTGACGTTGGTATATAAGCACTTGGCCGTGACTTTGAAAGCATCAAAGTGATCGTGGCGAGTTAACACTGCGAGTTGCTCAGAATTTCGTTTTAGCGTGGATAAAGGTGCGGGGACCATGAGAGCTATTATAGTAAGTTTCGATCGCTCGATTTCTCACTTTTCACTTTTCCACATCGATGGAATCTTGGTTAAAAAGAAAAAAAAAAAAAAAAAGAAGAATTATCACGATCCCCTGCCGTTAAAAATTAATCAGATCGGATCATATTGTCGATGATTTTTCCCCGCTTACAACTTAAGGATTATTAATCGAATTAACTAGTGATATCGTCGATTATATCATTATAGATATTCGCCGGGCTAATTACATTGGTATACGCTTCTTACGAAGAGGATCATGGCAGCTCGACATACCACGAAATCTCCAAGCCCGTGGAAATTCCTGTTTACAAAAAATACGCCATACCCATTCCACATCCAGTTCCAGTCCCCATTCCTCAGCAAATTAAGGTACCCATTCCACAACCGTATCAAGTCGAGGTACCAGTACCGCATCCAGTGCCGATAGAAGTCGTGAAACACGTCGAAATTCCAGTGGAGAAGCCTGAGCCTTATGTGGTGGAGAAGAAGGTACGCTGGAATTTTTCCATTTTAAATTTTTAATATTAAAAAAAAAAAGAAAAGAAAAAATTATTAAACATCTATTTGAAAAAAAAAATCTCTTCTTTCTAATTTTTGATTTACGTTTTCACGAAGAGAAAAGAATGAAATGAAAATTATAGATGAACGATGAAAGAACGTTGAACGCTCAGGAATATTGAAACGGAAATTGAATTATTGATAACACGACGAAATTTGATAATATCGCGGGACGTAGATATAATTTAATCCCTATATAATTTAACGTTAAATTACTCTCAATTTGATGCTTTGGTGTATACAAATACTACGATTTAAACGATAATTGACATTGATGTCGTACAGGTGCCGTACGTTGTCGAGAAGCCGTATCCGGTGACGGTGGAAAAGCACTTTCCGGTGCCCATCCCGAAACCGTATCCAGTTCACGTACCTGTCTACAAACACGTGTTCCATCACCAAAGTAAAGGAGGTTGGAAGCACTGATTTTTGTATCCATTCTTCCAAAGCAATCGAACGACTAGCCAAATATAACTGAAGACAGAAACTTTCCAGTTTCTCGGCATTATGACATACTTTGTACATAGATCGTTGTTGTTATATAGTCAATCCATTGTTACGTTATTTACGAAATAAATTGTTTTTGTTTTTATATATACAAAATGTCGATATATTGTTCCCTTCCCTTTGACGAGATTAATCATCCAAATGAATGAGCATGAGTACGTTCATCTTTTTCTTCCATATCTCTAAAATTTTGTTTATCTAGATTCTGATGAAATAATCCAGAACTATATCCTTCTTGATTAATTCTTCTCAATCAATTAACACGCGATATTATACTATTATTAAATCACATCAATTTTCCATCGTGTCTAAAATAAAGAATCATTGTATCAAAATTTTTCTGACATGGAGAAAGTGAAAATTGGCCATAAAGATTTCTATTCCTGTTTCCACTTTTATAAAAATTCCTTTCGATGTTCGTTAACGATCGATCATCCTCGATCTATCCACCAGGTAATTATAAGTGATCGTGTAACAGCGGATAGGTCTTAATAGCAGATAAATCGTGGCATGATTCAGTGGCGATCGGATGAAAATCGGTAAGAGAGACACGTATAAATTGGTTTAAGAAAATAATTTCAACCGAGAAAAAGGATCGTTTTTCCTTTTTTTTTTCCTCGAATTTCCGTAGGCGACACCCGGGGCGATCCAATCACCGTCGCCTCCTTCGGTTTTGTCTGTGCAGAGACGAATGGAGCCGATAGGACGCGGTGTGGTAAATGACGAATGTCCAACTACGACGACATAACAGGGCTGCCCGCCCGAGGTGCAGAATTTATTCAGGAAATACCGACAGCTTGCATCATAGGCTTGACCGACGACCGCTTTTTACTCCGCTTAAGGGTATCGCATTCGACTCGGGCGGGCAAGAAACGTGCCCTGTTTAAGTGGTAGCAAAAGTTTATAAGACCGAGGGACACGCACGACGCGCTTTTAGTTTCGCATTAGAACCGACGTTCGCCACGTGGAACATCCGTCCAACGGAGGATCCGAAATCATGTTCAGATTACTGGTGAGTTCGGACGAGGGATGAGAACGATCGAAAATTACGGGAAGGGAGGAGTATCTCGAAAATAAGAGAGATTATTGAATTTTTCTTTTTTCTTCGAATCGTGGAGAAACGAGTGACATTCTCGAACGTGAATTTTTAAAAAAAAATTCAAAGAATCGAATAGTTCTAAATTTTCGAAATATCGATAATAAGAAATTCTTGAAATTCTCCTCGAGGAGAAAGAGAAATCTCGTCTCGAGATATTGGATTCCTAACATTTTTCGAATTCTCATCGATCGATTTTTATTAATTTCACACCACGTTACTTCATCATCGTGGCCGTCGAGTTTCCTCGTCGAAAGCCCAGAGTTTCTAAATTCTCATGTATTTGTCCGTCTCTCTAGATCCCGTGCCTGATATGGCTGTCGAGCGTTCGCTCGGAGACGAGCGTGAGCATGCACATGCCGGAGGGCATGATGGAGGACAAAGCGGCGATGAAAAGGGAGTCGTACTATAACCCGTGCCCTCCGACGTACGCGCACCCGATCTCGTACTCGCCGCCACCGCAGATTTACGTGAAACCGTACGTGCAGCAGGCCCCGTTACAGTACATCCCGAAACCGAGCATCACCTACGTGAAACCGTCTCCACCCCCCGTGATCGTGCCGCCCGTCGTCAAGCCAGCCCCGGTAATCGTGAAACCGATCGCCCAGCCGAAAGTGGTTTACCCGATCTACCAGAAACCCATGATATCGTACGCGCCTATCTACCAGAAGCCCGTCTACTACGCGCCCATGTACCAGAAGCTCATGTACCAGGCGCCCAAGGTTTACCTGAAGAAATACGAATTGCCTGCGATCACCCAAGTGATCGCCCAGAAACCGCAGGTCTCCTATCCGATCCAGTATCACGAGCCGAAGGTGGTCCAAGTGCCCGCGCCCCAGATCAATTACGTGAAGCTCGCCCAACCGATCGTCCATTCCCCGCCTGTCTACCAATCGGCCATAAAACCGTACTGCCCCTAAGGACACGAGGATATATATATCGTCGAAGGACGAATGTCG